TTATTTTTAGTTGCAGAGTCAAGCTCTTTCTTAGACTGGCTGCTGAGACTATGAATTTCATATTTAATCATATTTAATCTGATCTCATACATTTCTTAGCATGAATCCCGCTGAGACTAATTATTAAAAAAACATGCAAAGTGACTATTCATCAGATCTCAAAATGAGACTAAACTGATCACTGAGATTATGAATTTTATATTTACTTTCATTTGATCTGATCTCATACATTTCTTGATGTAAATCTCACTGAGACTAATCATTAAAAAAACATGCAAAGTGACTATATATCAGATCTCAAAATGAGGTCATGACTTAGAAAAAATAAGAAAGTGATCTCATTTGATTTCATTTAATTCTATTCTTGGCATAAAGTTACTATGTTTAGACATTTTAAGGGTTTTTTTAAAACTATTTTTAATTTTTTAAAAAGTAACGCTTTTTGATAACACTCAAATGAGATTTAAAGTCATTTAAAGCAATAAAAATAACTTAAATTGAAAAGTGAAAATCATGGTCTTATTTGAAAAATGTGATAAGAGTAGACAGTAAGTCTCACTGAGATAGTATGAAACTACTATCTAATCTTAAAACTGTGTAATGAGATTAGTTAAATTGATAATAAGACTATTAAATATTCTGATTCTGATTCTAGACACGGTCACACGGTCAGTCTAAATGAGATTATGACTTAGAAAAAATAAGAAAGTGATCTCATTTAATCTCATTTAGTTTCATTCTTGATATAAAGTCATAATTTTTAGACATTTTAAGATTTTCTTTAGACTATTTTTAATTTTTTAAAAAGTAACACTTTTTGATAACACTCAAATGAGATTCAAAGTCATTTAAAGTAATAAAAAGAATTTAAATTGACAAGTGAAAATCATGATCTCATTTGAAAAATATGATAACAGTAGATAGTAAGTCTCACTGAGACACTATGAGACTACTATCTAATCTTAAAACTGTGTAATCAGATTAATTAAATTAGTAATGAAATCAGCAAATATTCTGATTCTAGTTTTAGATATAGTCACACGGTCAGTCTACTCTTTCTTCATAGTAATTATTTAAGTATTTTTTTATAAAGATGTAATCATCTTTTTATATATTTGCAGAATATTAATCTCTGTAATTGTATTAGAGCCTCTTCACACAGTATATATTTTAAATATATAATAGAGCTGAAACTCAATAACAGATAATACTTTTAAGAGATCAGAGTTGAAAGTAGTAGCATTTTTCAGAAACTTTTCATACTTTTTAAAATGAGTTAGTAACTTCACATTAATTTTTTTTCTAAAACATTTTACTTTGCAGTCTGTGACTATAACTGCAGATGAGAGAGAAGTGTTTTTAACTGATATTTATACAAAGAGAAATTTCTTCTGCAGAAGTGCAGAAATTAATAAATAATTAACTTAAGTGAAATTATCTGCAGTCAGTGTGTAATATATATTGATTGTGTTGCAATTATTAAACACAGAGCTTACTAATCATAATAATGTGATATTTTTATTGAATTTCACACTGTTGAATATAATAACTTCATCTTTTACAAAGTTTCATATTCTATATATTATTTCACTATAATATTCAATCAAAATTATTTATTTACTGCATTTAGCAAACTTGTTATATTCCTTTCAAAAACTTTTTTTGAAAATGTAAACAGATAATTCAATTACTTATAAGTCACTGCTGTGCAAAAAAAAGCTGGTCTTTCATCTTTATAAAAAGTTATGAGGATTCAGTTCTTCAATGAACAGTGTTCAAGAATAAGAGAATACTTATTAAACTATATTAATGTATAGTATCACTGTAAACACAGTCTTTACCTTATAGCTTAACTGATAAACCTACTTGTATTATTATAACACAAGCTTTTGAAATAACAGTTTGAATAAACTGTTCTACTACACTATTTTGATTAAGAGAATAGAGCTTCATTGACTCTTATTTAACATTAAATTCAGTGAGAACTGCTTATATCTATTAATCACTTATTTCAACAGTTCTGTTAAAATATATAAATACGACTTTTATACTCAGATTCTGAAGATGTTTAAATTGAAAATCAGTAACATTCAATAGCTGATCTTTGTTCTTAAAAAAATAAACAGTTTTATAATATATAATATTATTCATTATAAAAAAATAGTTATCGGTAGTCTTGAAAAGAAAAAGAGAATTTATGAAAAGTATTAAAGAATTTACTATTATCTATAATATTAAAATACAGATGAGTACTATGAATATATTCTCTTATTATAAAAATCTGCAAGATTTTCTTTTTTACTTTTATAAGTTTACAAGTTTCACAGAATGATATATTCATACTTCTTTTAATTACAATATCAGAGATGAGATATTTTGTCAATTATTAAATATCAGTAATATTCAGATATTCTAGACAAATATATTATATAAAAAATATATTAATATAATTTAAAAGTATCTGTATAACTGTAGCTAGAGCAACTTTACATATATTATAAATTAAATAAACACAATGATTTATTTTCACTGTATAAAATTATTAATTATATTTATTAATCATTTCAAAATCAATAATATAACTGTTTTTATTTCAAAAGAGTTTAAAGTCAAATTCTTTATTAACAAGTTAATTAAAACTTAAGAAATTATAGAAAACTGCTGATAAGTAATAAATATTTTGAAAATTCAATTTGATTTCATTTATATGAATGCGGATCTCATTAATATCAGTAAATATAATTAATTCACTGGTGATTTTCTTTGCTGAGTCAAGTTTTTCTTTATTATCAAAAGTGTGTATATATTTGAAAATACTTCTGTCAGATATCATGATGTAGAATACTACAGTGTTTAAGTATTATAAAAAAATGTTAAAAACTGTAAGTAGTAGATAATATTTTTACAGTTGATATGAAACTGAAGTTTTTTTCATTGATGAAAAATATTGCATTTCTTTCAGTATAGTATTCAATTACAGAGTAGTTGATTCTTTGATGTTTTAATAATTGATTTTTTAAGTTCTTAAGAAAGTAATCAGTTTCATCATGTTCATGATAAGTGTAATAGGCCTGGTGATATACTGATTAGAACATTTATTCTCAGAGAAGAAGACTGTTGATTGAGGCTTTATTTACAGAGTGAAGTGAAGCAAATATATGATGAAAACCCTGATTATTAAAAGTGAAGAATTTCCTTTTTAAGGTTCTTGGCATGAATACAGCCCACTGATGGATGTAGAATTAAGTGAAGCATAATTCCATGACATTGCACTATTATATCATCTACTTCATACAGATTCTTGAATAGATAACATATCTGATTAACAATCTACTCTGTACAGACTCTTGAATAGATAATGCATCTGATCAACCACCTCTTATAGATTCTTAAGAATGAATAATATATCAAAAGCCTGTGTTCACTGCTTACAAAATCAGTCTCTTAATTAATTTATTTCTTTACAGTGTTCTACTACTTCTACAGCTGTCTGTCTTCAATACTACACTCAGAGAACTCAGGTATTATAATCTTCTCTCATTACTAGACTGACCGCTGGAATCATGAATTTCATGTTTAATTTCATTTGATCTAATCTCATACATTTCTTGATGTGAATCCTGCTGGGACTAGTCATTAAAAAAACATGCAAAGTGACTATATATTAGATCTTAAAATGAAATCATGACTTGAAAAAAATAAGACAGTGATCTCATTTGGTCTCATTTAGTCTTATTCTTGATATAAAGTTACTATTTTTAGACATTTTAGGGTTTTTTTTAGATTATTTTTAATTTTTTAAAAAGTAACACTTTTTGATAACACTCAAATGAGATTTAAAGTCATTTAAAGTAATAAAAATAATTTAAATTGAGAAGTAAAAATCATGATCTCATTTGAAAAATGTGATAAGAGTAGACAGTAAGTCTCACTGAGACAGTATGAGACTACTATCTAATGTTAAAACTGTGTAATGAGATCAGTCGAATTGATAATAAAACTATCAAAAAATCTGATTCTGGTCTCAGACACAGTTATATAATCAGTCTACTTATTACATCTTTTCTATCACTGATTATCTCTTTACACTGTGTAGAACTGTAAATGAATATATACAGTAAAATCAGATTCTTCTACAGTCATAGATTCTGTGATAAATAAGTCTAAACTCTCTCTATCATTCTAGATATATCAATACTTTATATAATTAATAGCTGTCTTTTACATCTGTGTAAGAATAAGTGCTTACAGATGATTATTCAGATGTTTACAGCTTGATATAATATATACTGTTAACTACTAGAAGTATTCACAGTAGAAAGATAAAATGTAGAAGTTAAATATATAATAGTATTCAAGCTGAGTTATAAATAGTATTCATGAACTTCAGTCTATATAGTTGTATATAATCAAGAGCTGCTAACTCTATTAATTACATAAGAGATAGAAAATAGAGATAAAGAATCTGCAAGAAGTGGGATTTCCTACAGTCTGTGAACAGTCTATTGAAACAGATATATTATCTGAGATTAAGTTTTATTACTGTGAGATTTATAGTTCTGATATATCTTTATTAACAGCAGTCTATAAAAAGAAAAGTATTATTCAAAGAGCTCACTATATTATCAGATGTTATAGAGAATATCTCTTATTAACTTCATTCTTAACTCAATTAAGAAAACAGCTGCAGTCATTATCTTTAATAATTAATTCATCTCTCAGTTCTACAGATCTCTCTTCAGTCTTTCATCAATCATCTGTGTTATCATTCAACTCATTCTCAAGTCAATCTTATTTCATCTTTAGAGACATACTTTCACTGTAGTTACAGTTCTATCTCTTTTATTAATAAGCTGTAAAATCAATCTTGCAGAGTCTTCTGTTTTGAGCTTAGCTCTGCAATGTCTTTGTACACAGAGGCTCGTGTGCATTAAGATATTTTAGTAACTAGTGTAGTTAGTTAAGAGAGTCAATATGAATAAGTTATATAACAGAGCAACCAACCGCCCCACCACGAACTCGCTCAATCTTTCGAATAAGAACCCGCCGATAGATCCATCGAATAGCCCTCGATCATACGAGCATTTTGACCCCATCGCCGACTGCATACCCCGTGTGGTGGTGGAGTTATCCAGCCAAACGTGAACCAAAGTGTGGGACTATCTCCCGTCCACCCCTACCACACCACAACCCCGGGTCCAATTGCCATACAAATTGTAAGATGAAGAGACCTAGCCCTATGCGCCAATCTTCTTGATTTTGGAAGATCCCCGACCCGTGATTGCGAAGATATTTGAAGAGCAATCACTGTGAAAACCCTGTCTGTCTTTGATGTTCCAAACATCAACGCCAAGTCCCATCCATGTACCGCCCTTCCCAATCTGGCTCATCTCTGGCAGAAAAATACAAAAAGATACCTTGGCAACAGTATTCAGTACATAATCAGCAGTAGACTGACCGTGTGACTGTGTCTGGGACCAGGACCAAACTTTACAGTTGTCATGTTGCCTAAAAGCATTACTTCTGATCATGGTTTATATTCATCACATTAATCTCAAATCACATTATTTCAAATATTAAAGATTTTGAATTCACTTTTCAAATAAAAATCTAATCTTAAATAAAGAATATATTTGAATTCTTAGTCACATTTTCATTCTGATTTCATTATTGAGAATGATATTAAATGAGATTATAAAATTATTTCTCACTTACATAATATCATAATATAGTACTCTTTTGTTAAAAATTTAATAGAGAGTATTATTAAATATTATTACTTTTCTGAACACAGATTATAATTTATATAATTTTAATTATAAAAAAAATATAAAATATAAAAAATAATAAAAAAATAAAAAATAAAATAAAAATAAGAAAAAATCACAATGAAAAAAAAAGAGAAAGAAAAAAAAATAAAAGAAAAAGAAAAAAATAAAAAATAAAAAAAAAAAAAACTAAGATTGCAGAGCTGCAGTATTTTTAAAATACTTACTTCTCAGAGTTTTTATAATATTTATTATTAACTATGTATTTCTCATAATGAGAGTAATATAGCTCTGATAAATTATTGTCTTAATATTATCTAATAAATAATCAGTATATATCTATATAAATGTGAATAATTAGAAAATATATACTTAAAAAGTATGATCAGAGTTAGACTGGCTACTGAGACTATAAATTTCACATTTGATCTTATTTGATCTGATCTCATACATTTCTTGACATGAATTCTGCTGAGACTAGTCATTAAAAAAACATGCAAAGTAACTATATATCAGATCTTAAAATGAAATCATAACTTGAAAAAAATGAGAAAGTAGTCTCATTTGATCTTATTTAATCTCATTCTTAACATAAAGTTACTATTTTAAGACATTTTAAGGTTTTTTTTAGACTATTTTTAATTTTTTAAAAAGTAACGCTTTTTGGTAATGCTCAAATGAGATTTAAAGTCATTTAAAGCAATAAAAATAATTTAAATTGAGAAGTGGAAATCATGGTTTCATTTAAAAAATGTGATAAGAGTAGACAGTAAGTCTCACTGAAACAGTATGAGACTACTATCTAATGTTAAAACTGTGTAATGAAATCAGTTGAATTGATAATGAGACTATCAAAAAATCTGGTCCTGGTTGCAGACACGGTCACACAGTTAGTCTAATCAGAGTGAACTCTGCTGCTACTTGAATAATATTAAGAACAGAATACTGAAATTAATAATTTCTCTTATTAATTTCACAGATAAGATATACAAAGATAATCTTAAGAAATATAAGATTTCTTAACTTCTGATAAAAACAGATCTTATAGAGAGACTCTATTTTCATAATATCAGAGACTGAGTATTATTAAAAAGTATTACTTTTATACAATATATATACACTTACTGTAGTAATTCACTCTCTATATATATAACTGAGAGTTGCAGCTTTCTCACACTGCACAGCTCTTCTTGAGATACTATTATCAGTTTGTAACTTACATAGTCTCTCAGTTCAGTATGTACTGTATGTATACAGTTCTGTGTACTGAGCTTATATTAGTCATTATAATCTGATATGATACTCACTTTTCACAGATTATGTTTTATTTAATTAAGAGAGAGAAAGAGATGTAATTACTATTTTATTAAGAGAAGAAATAAATAATTAAATCTGTAGAAGATAATTTAATTTCTTCTATATTTGAAATTTGATTAGTCTATACTCTTTAATTTGAGAGTTTCTGAGAGTGTTTTAATAGTTTTCATATCAGCTTGAAATTAGTGATTAATTGAAGAAGAGAAAAGAGAGAAGAAAGAAATAAGAACAACTTATCTTTATAATATAAAAACAGAGAATTACTGTAATCATTCTCTCTGATAATAAAGATCTCTTTTCTGTATATATCTCTGATATAGATTATATAATAACTGCATACAAAGAATATTAATAGTGTATATATTAAATGAAGATAATATTACTATGTAATACTGTAGCTGTTTCTGTATATCTTTGAAAGCTATTAATATTTTCTTTGAGTCTCTTTATATTTGATAAGTTAATAATATATTTCAATACACTTTCTCTTTCATCACTATTATTATCATCATTATTATTACTATTATTATTATTACTATTATCATTATCATTATTATTATCATCATCATTATTATCATTATTATTATATTATTACTGATTGTCTTTTCTGTCTTCATCTCTTCTCAATGCTTATTAAAATCAATTATGTTATTTCTCTTCAAATATTCTGCAGTTCTGCGGATTATCAAGGCATGTGAGTACTGTCACAGATTAAAGAGTGAGAAGAAGAAGGCATTTAAATGAGAGAAGACAGATTATAAAACATATTAAAATATCTTGAAAAGACTCTGTAAGATTTATTATTATTATTATTATTATTATTATTATTATTCTTCCATTATACTCATATGCAAGCGGAGCTTATGATGAGTCCTTGCGTGATGTTAAATACAGGTCAAGTGTTGATTATACAGGAGGAAATACAGGTGTTGAGACCATGCCAAGATAACAAGAACATAGGAAAATACAAACGAGTGACAATTAGATACATGCAATAATAACTTCTCAGCCCAGGAACATAGAGCAATTCATTGAAGCGATTTGTACACCTCTGTATTTATTAGAAACCTGAGGTGCTTGAGTTCCGGATTTAATGTATTCCTGCGGGTTTCGAACCCACGCGCCTTGGTTTCCCACGCCAAGGTGCTACCGGGTGGCCGCATTAACCATTCAGCCACCGGGGCAGACTCTGTAAGAGAGTAGAATGATAATAATTTTAAGTAATACTTCTAATGAATTTAGACTGAACTAAGTATAGAAATAATACAGGTAGCATTACACAGAAGAGAATGAAAAAAAAAGATAGTAAAAAGTCTTATACAGCAGCAGTGAGATCAGAAGAAGTTTTAAGAATAATTTATAATTAAGATAAAGAGAGAGAGAGAGAAGAAGAGTATTACTGTAAATAAGTAATAGTAGAAGAAGATTAAGAGAATGTTAAAGTAAGAGATAAAGAAGTTAAAACTAATAAGTTTTTTATTTATTAAGAGATAATAATTTTTAACAATACTTCTGTTCTCTAATTAAATAGCAGAAGCTGAGAGAGAAGAAGAGAATTGAAGTCTTATTCAGGTTTTAAATACACTTCCTAATTCAGAATATTAAGAAGACAGCTCTGCTCTCTGAGTATATCAATCTACTTACTACTGAGATGGAATCTGAGACAGTAGATCAGAAAATGCAGGATTTTAAGATACAGATTAATCTGACTAAGAGAGAGCAGTGAGAACTCTTCTCTGAGAAGATAGTGAAAAGAGATTTTAAGATGATTATTATCTCAGATAAGAAGAAGAAGAAGAAGAATAAGAATAGAAAGTAAATTATAAATAATAATAAGAAGAATGAGAAAGAGAAGAAAGATAATAAGTAGAAAAAGTTTTTTTCTTTTCTATATTAGTTAGTTATAAACTTGATAGCTGTTAAATAATAATTGAAATTAATTTTGAGTTTTCAAAAATTATTGTGCAAGTTGAAATCAATGTCAGAAATAATATATATATATATATTTAAACTGACCGTGTGACCGTGTCTAGAACCAGAATCAGAATATTTGATAGTTTTATTATCAATTCAACTGATCTTATTACATGGTTTTAAAATTATAAAATAATCTTATACTGTCTCAGTAAGACTTACTGTCTACTCTTATCACATTTTTCAAATAAGATCATGATTTTCACTTCTCAATTTAAATTATTTTTATTACTTTAAATGACTTTAAATCTCATTTAAATGTTATCAAAAAGTGTTACTTTTTAAAAAATTAAAAATAGGCTAAAACAACCTCAAAATGTCTAAAAATAGTAACTTTATGTCAAGAATGAGACTAAATGAAATCAAATGAAATCACTTTCTTATTTTTTCTAAGTCATGATGTCATTTTAAGATTTGATATATAGTCACTTTGCATGTTTTTTTAATGATTAGTCCCAGCGGGATTCATGTTAAGAAATGTATGAGATCAGACTAAATGAGATTAAATGTGAAATTCATGATCCCGGCGGCCAGTCTATATATATTTAATTATCATGATTCATAAATCACTATAATATATAAGTATTAACATTTTTTCAATATTGATATTTATAATATTAATATATTTTTAATGATATTATCTGATAATACAATTTGATAACACTCTCTTTCTCAATATTAATATATTTTAAGAAATATAACAGAGATTAATCAAGATTATTTATTTACATTTATATATTAATAATATTCAATCTGAGTTAGTACTAAAATTATAACTAAGCTAAGAAAGAAGATTATTTTCTCTTATAATAATTCTTCTTACACACATCAGTGATTAGTTATTGAAAATTAATTATTATCTTTCTTAAACTATTATTATATCTTCTGAATTCACTTCTTTCACTTCTTTCACTTCTATTGAAGATTTATAAACTCTTTAAGAAATCACTGTGAATTACAAAGTCTATATTATTTACAATTCAATACAGAATGCTCTCTTTCAATTATAATGAATAATCACTTTATTTTTTATATCTGATTTCAGGTCATGAAATTATGAAAAACTCAATACAAATACTGAGATGAACTATAAAATAATTATCAATAGATTGTATTGCAGATTACTGAAGAGTCATCTCTCTGCTATAATCACTGTAACTTTATTCAGAAACATTTATTATGAACTGATTATAGCTTTAAAAAAATTTTCCGACATTTGAAGTCATCAGAATGCAGATAATAAAAGAAAAATAATCAGAAAATTACTACTGAGCTGATAAGTTACTCTGTCAGATAATGATTTTTAATAACACTCACTTTCTAATT